ATAATTTAATTCCTATTACATCATGCTTTATAATGTACGATTGACGCAACTATACGGATATATAACTTATCCATAGTAAATGATCCCCCAACCAAGTTTTGGTTGTCACAATCAGATCATGCCTAACTATATTGATGTAGTTGACAAATCAAAGTAAATAAATCGTATCAACCATACACATTCCTATCACATAAAGATAATTAGAGTGATGTTTCTATATTGCTCACAACTAAATATTTTTAGTTATGTGAACTATATCTTTTTTTCCGTGTATATATAAAATCTAAAAAATACGTACTTTCTAAAACTTTTAAAGTAAATCTCACTTTAAAGAGAAATCTCTTTCTAGAGATTGAAAATTGAGCCACTTTTTTTAAGACTGGCTCAATTTTCACTCTTTAGAATGAGATTCCACTCCAAAGAATTCAAAGAGTAACGTAACTATAAGTTTTATTTAAACGCCAAGGGATTTGCTCTCACAATAGCAGCGCGATGTTACAGCGCGATATTACAACGCGAAGGAATTCTGTTCTGCGGTAAGAACTCCCGAGAGAGAGAGAGAGAGAGAGAGAGAAACTACGGATCATCTCGCGCGATCGACATACGCTTTAAACGAAATCAGACGGCAATGACGTTGCTTGTCGCGTGGCCATGAAAATGCATCGCGCATCGTAGAATGTGGTACGAATAAAAGTGTGTGCTGAACGATTCATCGATCGATGCATCATACAAGAACCACGCATCGACTCATTGATCATATTGGTCGCGTTAAGAAAGTCTATTTTTCTACACGGAAAAGATGATTTTGCTGAAGTATTTAAAAATTTAGCTGTATACCTAGGTATAAATTTAAAAATAAATTTGTTGGATCATGAAAATAATTTTGTAGGGCGCTCAAACTGGTTGCTAGAATATCTTTTTGCAACATTGCTTATCATACTTGAGATTCCTACATAATTATTTTAATGATTCAACATAATTATTTTCAGATCTGTATCCAGCTAAATTTTTAGATATTTTGGAAAAATCTTAATTGTCATCAATATGTCAATCATTATGACTAAGTAATTTTGTTCCTGGATATACGAAAAGAATGATTTTACCGGAACATTTAAACATTTAGTTAGAAACAGATCTGAAAATAATTTCGTTGGCTCATCAAAATAATTACGTAGAAATCTCAAACACGGTGATCAATGCCGCAAAAAGTTTTGACATTCTAGCAACTAATTTGAGCGTCCTACATACCTAATTATTTTGATGATATGACAAAATTATTTTCAGATCTGTATATATATATATTTAGCTGAATTTTTAGATACTGCAGCAAAACTATTTTTTCCGTGTACCACTCTTTTTATATCAATATGTTATTTTAATATACTATTTAATTATAAATTTATTCCTAATTACAGGATCCCTTTTGCAGAAAGAAAATACAAATTTTGAAAACTCCGCACTAATTATATGAAAAATTGGGTCGAGGTAAAATAAGTTAATTTTCACATATAATGTAGCTATGTAGTTTACAATTTGAACAAAATGTCATATAGGCATAAGGTTCAATAATGGATAATTTTTAAGTTATGGAGTATTAAAGGTATAAAACTTGTGTTCAAAGAGCACTTTTGATACATTATAGCTTAAAAACTATTCATTATTAAACTTTGTGTACATGACATTTTTTATTCACCACGTTATAAGCATACATTATACATATGTGCAAACCTCATTTTACCGAAACCTAATTTTCTACATAATTAGTGCGGAGTTTTCAAAATTTGTATTTTCTTTCTGCAAAAAATCAGAAAAAACGTGTCCATATATATAAATCATCGATTATGGCCTAATAATACAATTTACTGGTGCAATGTTGGCCCAATATATCCCGAATGCATGACAATGTTTAACCAATATCTCGCCAATGAATTATGCTACTCGAGGGATTAACTCACATTCGATAGCAATTTAAATTAAAATATCAGATTAAATAAAAATTTTAAATTAAATTAAAATATCAAATTTACACGCAAAAAAACATCATTCTATTGCTAAAAAAATTATTACTCAATTTATTTTCTTTCTTTTAAGTAATGGTTATTTTCATAAAAAATATTTTCTTGATATAATCTTAAAACATACTTATTATAAATTTTAGAAAAAACACATTAATATGTACTTAAAACAAAAATTTACTTTCACTCAAAGAATATTCTATTATTCTATCAATAAAATTGATCGAAAAAGTAACTTTATATAATAAGTAAATCGAATCTGTTTTAATTTAATAATATTGATTGAAGTATATTAAACTTACTAGGATATAAAAAATATTTTAAATAGATTTGATGCCTATGATAGATTTGCGGATATATGAACTTTTAAAATACTTACATAAATTTAACTTTTAAAATACTGAAATAAGTAGTTATTATTTGATACAATATGTATTTTTCTGTTTGCATAAATCGAACATCGTTCGAATACTTTTTCACTTTTTTTCACTCCTTGCTTCACTCTCTTTCACCCTCGTGAATCATTACATAATTTAGATTTTGTGAGTAAATATACGATATATTTTTTAAATGTAATATCGTTCGTGTTAATTTTACTAATCTGTCACTTTCAACAGCTTCAAATATCTATTTATATATAGGAAATAAATGTAGCTGTGGAGCTATTTTTAAGAAAATCGAAAAGATAATTTGATTACCTGAACGCAACGTATACAGCGCATTAAAAGATTAAAATTTCATGTTATAAATCGGGAACGCGAATAAAACGTGGAGAAACGGAGCTTTAACGGTTGAATGTTTACGCGGCGTGAATAATATATATATCATCGCCGCCGCGTGAATTTAGTCGCGGATCTTTTCAAGTTCAAAAAACAAACAAGGAAGTTACATTATAATATGTAAACAACAAATAGAATAAATTTCGTGCATATTCGACACTTGGCACAAACATTAAATATACGACAAATGAAAGAAACGTATAGATTATATGTGTAAAACAAAGAATGTGTAAAGCGCAGAAGCCAATCGAACGACCTTGAAAATAATGCATCGAAAAGTAGCAATGCGAATGTTCTTCCTCACGACATTTTTGACGCCTCACATTGTTGGCAGCTTTTCTATTTACTTCGGTGCCCGTAAGATCAAATTACATAATACGAACAGTTACATGCGATTACAACACGAATATAACAACTGATATCCGTTTCTATCAATAATGATTACTTTTAATCTCGATTTAACTTTTAACTCTTTATATATTTCTAATTTTTAGAACTAAAAAAAGATAAAACATAAGTTAAAAGATAAGAATAAGATTAAAGTTAGTCTGTGTTGATAGAAGAAACGAGCATGAGAGATCAGCTGGAAGCGTCAAGTGTCACTGCGAGTGAAAAGGTAATGAAAGACAAGGACGAGAGAAAAGTATTACGTATAATTATAAAAATTCGTGGCTCACCTTGACTCTCGGCGTACGCGGCAGGGATGATAATCGTCAGCAGCAGCGTCAGAAGGATCAGCTCCAGTTTACACCTCACCGTTGCACCGCCGTCACCGCCGCCACCACCGCCGTTGACGGTGACGACGCGTCGCGGATCGGCGCGCCGGGAATCGCGCGCCATGTTCCTGAGACTCGGACACTGCTGACTGCCTGAACGCGTTGACCGCGACTCACGCGAACGTCATGACACCACGGTGCTCCTCACGACACGCACGCTCTTCGCACGTTGGCTGTCTCGCGTCTATCGCTCGCGCGCGCACACACCACACTCACGTTACCGACCACCCAGCCCGACTGGCTCCGGATTGCTCCGAATGCTCCGATAGTTCCTAACGCGCAGACCGTTGCGACACCTCTGAACGTTGTTGCCCGACCGCCCGCTTCCCCCCACTATGGCGACGTTGAGTCACGGCGCGACGCGGCGGAAACGGCCGAGCGCGCGCGATCGCAAGCGCGCCGTAACGCGAGGGATTCAAATGCGAATTCGATAACATGTATTATTTTTGTAATTTTGATAATCCGAAAAAATGTTTGCATTCATACATTTGATGATATTCAAACTGGAAATTCGATTTTGAAAAATTCAATTTTTGAAACTGCTATTTATTCTACTATTTTTCATTTTTTTTAAAGAGATATCATATACCTTATTTTTATTTTGCGAATAAAACTATAAGTGTCCCCTATAAATATTTATTACATGTGTGTGGAAAAATATAAGGCAAAATAATAAATCTTTTAGAAGTCGATAAAGTTAACGCTTGTTACTTCAATGTACGTGAAATATGTAATAAATATATCTATCAATCGATAAAAGAATATAAATATTTTAAGCATGACTATACGTTTTTTTTATGTCAAATATCAAAACTTGAATAACGCCGTTACTTTATTAATCGTTACCTTATAATAACGATTTGATAATGACATTGTGAATTTTTTATGGCAATGCTAACATCAGAGTTAGAAAAGTCAATCGTTATTGAAAAAAATAACTCCTAATTTGTAACGCGTTACTTTTTAGTAACGAGCAACGTTACGCGTAACTCGTTATACTTATAACTTTTTCAGTGTAACGCGTAATAGTGACGTTACTTTTCAAAGTGACTTTTCTAACTTTAGTACAACCTCAGCGTTTAGTTAGTTAGCGTTACCGTCATAAAAAATTGCAACATCGTCATCAAATTGTTTACTATAAAAAGTAACGACAAAGTAACTGAAAAGTAATGTTTGCCAACTCTGTCATCTACTTATTGCTTTTATTCGATACTGATATTTAAAGAATTTAAAAAAGTATGAAACGTTAGTAACGATGCGTAATTTCCATATGCCTGCTTTTTATGGCTGAATTAGTATGTATGCATTTTTGGAATTTAAAATAAAATAGGTATATGTTTGATGTTTGGTAAAAGCGAGAGTTCTAGTACAGTCTAGTGCAGGAATAAAAAACATACCCAATGCAGTATCGATCAAACTTTACGGGTGGATGATTCGGTTTGAGTCCAAGACTAGCAGGTGAAAATTCCTAAATCAGCTGGAGGTAGCTATTTTGTTTGCTTTTTATTATGGAAAACGTACGAAAAGAATTGACGAAAAGAATCGTAAACGAATGTAAAGCAAAAGGGGCATCAATAACTAAGGATTTTGCTTCGTTTTTGGTAATTTCATATAACCCCAATGAGATAATATTGAAACGCAAGCAAGATACTAAGCGGTGATTACAATATTCTTAAAAATTTGTAGCTTTCTCTTTATCAATTAAATCCAGCGTACAGAATAAAAGAAAACGACGAGGAAAATGCCAAAGTAATTCAAGCTGTAACGGAGAGGCTATGTGACCAAAGCCGATCCAGTCTTGTAACTTTGAAAAATCAGCTATACTTTGCTAAGCATTATCATGACAGAGGTAAAGATATTTAATTGGTATGTTTCTATTTGTACAATTATTATTACGATTTTATACTTGGCTTAGACGAAACTGTCAAAAGGCATCGATTACGACTACACCAGAAAACTGCACCTTTAGTCGCCGAAATTTGTGAAAGTAATAAACTGGAGAGTGGAAAGGATACGGAAAAACTGTATCAGAAAATATTAGCAGTAATAACGCTTCTGAGCGGTCTGGGAAGTCCCACAGTCCCATCAATTCTGAGGTAATTATTGATCACGTTCATATGAATTTAATAAGAACTCAAAGTTAACAAAATCATGTTAAATCAAATCGATCAACATTCAGTTCTCCATCTCACATTTCTGTATTCTCAATCATGAAAAATTTACTTGTGCCAAATGCGGAATTATAACGAGAATTATTACATCGCAAATGACAAGAAATATTCTCGTCTACGAATCGAAATCTACACTAACCAAAAATTATAACGAATATGTTGTATATAAAATTATTATATTTAATTCTTCATAAAAAAATGTCTGACTTATTATATTTAAGTCTTCATAAAATTTGATAATGTTAATCTTTAAGTAGGTAGATGGTTTAAAAATATGCAAGTTGATAGGTGAGATGCTCGAAACCACACACACATACACACACACACACACACACACACACAAATTTTAGTTTTATTATTATATTTTTTACTAATATATGTTATGCTTAAATTTAGATTAATATAATATCCTTATGAGATAGAAAAATGTAAAAATAATGAACTTTAATATTTCTAAACAATTCTTTTTATTTTCCTTTTCCAAAATAGTTTTAAAGAAAATTATATTTGAGCCACTTTATTTACTGACTTAGCCATGTTTTCACAATCTGTGGTTACCTAAAGATTAAAGATTACCATGAAATTCATGAATAAACTTCATTGATGAATCTCTTGGTAACTTTTAATCTTTAGAGACTTTAGATAACCACATATTGTGAAAACGGGCCTTAAAGGTTAAATAATGATAAATATATTATATAAAAATGTATTTTACATTAGGGAAGTTTCAGTAGCGTTGCAGAGCGTCTTCCAGGCTTCCGAGCTGGCTCATTACGTAACTTTGCCTAAACGAGAGAAAGAGGAGCAGTTGATGGAGTTAATGTGTCTAGTCGCAGGGATCCGTTTATTTAATAGAGATTGTCAACGCGGTGGCGAGGGGATCGACGATCGTAAGAGCATGGAATAATTTTTAATCCGGTCAATGATGACAGCAACTCAAATGACTTTAAACAGAGATATTATCGCGAAAAATGTTACAATTACGTGAAGGCTTTCCGCAAAAATGATTACGGATAATTGTTTTATAGTGCCGAGCATTCTACAAGAAGCTCTAATGAAGACCCGCAACTCTATTCTTGAGCTGTTAGAGCCGTTAATGGCCAAGATATATAAGTTCACGGCTGCCGTGGAAAATGCAGTCACATGCATGTCAATCGATGTTTCGGACGCTGCATGTTGCAGTTCAAAGGAAGCGGCATCCGACGCGGAAGAAAAAATTGAGTGGATCATCGAAATGTTAACGGCTAGTCGTCAGCAAGAGATCTACATCAGGTATCTATAGAAAGAGAAATAAACAACAAATAATCTATATAAATAAATAATAATCTAATAAATAATAATTCGTTCAAAATAATTTATAAAAATAAATAATAAATGATCTCCACAATTGACACGATTTCTAATATAATTTTATAGAAAGCTGCTGAGTGATGTGGAGCGCAGTGAGAACGCAGTGAAGGACTTGATGGAACGTCTTCAAGCACGACTCTTTAAACTTCATGATACTGTTCGATACAGAACGGCTATCCCTACTACTCAAGTCTACGTAAATACGACTGCTTGAAAGAATAAATTATAATTAATGCTCGACATAATTATTTAGAGCATTTATTTTCAGAAGTTGAAAATTATGGAATCCCGCATATTCTCAATTTTAATAGAATAATAGTGATAATTTGATTGGAATCAATTTACTTGTTTTCATCAGATTTACGTAAATCTAATATCGTTATTCTGTAGAATGGAAATAACTTGTTTACAAAAATTTATTTCCGATTGGCGAAATTTTGTAATAAAAGATAATGTTCCTTTAAAATTGGGAAAATCATAATTAAATCTTCAATTTGAATAAAATATATGTTAAATCGTTTTCAATAAATGTAACCGTATTATAATTAATAATTACATATTCTGCCCATTAGCCGCAATTTATTGATCTGGCGGATATATGGATGGGTTTGCAAGATGAAGTGATCACTCTGAGTAGCATCAACAACTTCCTATGGGAGTTACAAAGTTTGAGCAATAAGGTATTAATGCATTCGCCTGTTATCGATCTAAACGTATTTTTGTAACATATATCCCGAATAATTTGTGTTATAGACTGTGAATATTTACGATCAAACAAAGTTAGAAAATATAGCCGAAAATGTGGAGATTTTAACCGATGCTGAAAGATTGGAACGTTCCATGGGCAATTTAATAAGTACTAATAATTTTCTATACATTACAATAAATATATTTTTACTCTTATTTTAATCGCATAAAGAATATATGTTCATGTTTTTACAGCGGAGTGTGGAGAGTGCTTGATATATTATCCAAATGTCACTAAAGATTTTGAGAAGATTAACTTAGAGGTAACCGCAATAGAACAACAGTTAACGCTTCTATAATTCGATAAAATTTAAAAAATTAAAATGTTTATGTAAAGATTTGTGATTTTATTTTCGAATAAATTTTCAAATAATGCTGAATCGAAGGATATATTAGTTTCTAGGATTTTGCGCGTGGACATTTGCGACGGGCAAAGGCGCCCTTATACCAGGAAATCCGAATAACGGTGTGGCGAAATGGAGAGGAAAACATTACGCCTTTAAATCACCCGAAGTAGCCGTTAAATTCGGAAAAAATCCCGACAGGTATTCTTTCATTGTAAATGAAAGTAATCTATAAATTTCTTAGCTTCGAATGTTAATAGGTATATTTACGACGCGCTCAATTTCGTCCGCAATCATGCGGAATACATCCACTTGTTTCAATTACATGAGGAAATTGAAGCTATGCAAAGTCAAGAAGAGTGAGTTGTTAGTTATAATCATATTCTATTGCTTGTTTAAGCAAGAAGCGTAAAAAATACTAGCTTTTTCAGATTAACGGAAAAAGGATTGCGACTGAAGACTCGTCATGATCAAAAGGTTCAAACAGACGTCCATATACTTCCGCCCTACATTGATAAATATTATACTTCCAGCGTTTGGGAGTTGAAGCGTAGAGCTTTACGCCTGGTAAGTAGAACTTTATCGACGTCTTAAAAGAATTTAATAATATTGAAGTAAAAGATTTGAACGATAAAATTTATGTTTGAGGAATACAAAGTTTGATTCTCTTTAGTAATATATATATATATATATTACCAATTTTAAAAACTCCTATTTTTATCTACTCACAGATTTAATATTTCGATGCATTATTATTTGTAAAATCCTGATATTAGACACGTTAATCGAATATATGTAATTGTATTATACATTTATTACATATAATTTTTTTTTATTTCCTCAGTTCAGTAGACGAAAAATGTTGATACGGTATTTTTTCAGGCAAATATAAGTCGATGTACTACGCGCAGTACGCAAACGTTTAATTCGCATTTTCGATATGGTGTTTACGTGCAAGCAGCTCCGCCACAGGATAAGGAAGTTCAAACCAGAAGAGATAACTATACAAACACTAAGAAACTCCTGACGTTCATGTTTGGATTACGAGGAAGGCGAGATGACAATCAGCACATTGTATCATTCTTGGAAGACGAACTTGAACATTTATAAAATTTCGTCTCTGAAATAATTACGTAAACTAGTAATATCTCAATAACACGTAAATATCTCAATAACATTGTGACATCCAATGAAATAAATAAAAAACATTTTTAAGTGAATTATATATTTATATTGTAAATAATCAATCACATATATGAATGCATTTATTCGGAATATTAAAGGATACATATAATGGGTCATATTAAAAAAGTATTAGGAAATAATTGAAATAAATTACAAGACAGTTTAAAAAAAAATGAAAGCAATATTATTTAATGACACTTCCAAATACATTTTACGGAACATTACAGTTTAAATAGAACTTTTCTCCCTTTTTTTGGAGAAGAAAGTTTGTATTCTAATGTATCATTCCGCATAGCATTTTTTTCATGTAATGCTTTCGTTACCATAAACTGCAATGATCTCATTCGTGTGGCTTTACTCCTGGTTTAGGCCAGCATTTCTTTAATTTATATTCAAAATACACGAATTTTACACATGTCGAAGCTCGGACAGATGTATGCGGTTAAGATTCCGCACCTCGCTTCGTGAGCCTATTATTTTATTTCCTACACTTCAACAGCCAGTGGTCGCTGCACTGTGACTTTAATCATTTAATATGCTTATAAGATACCTTTCAATGAATATATTGTTTTACCATTAGATCTTAAACGTTAGATTCAATTTTTACACCAAGAAACCTATATTACGACAATAATTAGTAATTACACGATAATACAATTAAACTTCGCTTACATTTGCATGTGTATAATGTAGCTATTATACAGAAGAGGTACAGGATGTTAATTTTCCGCATAGCTTCTCTCTTTATTATTTTTTTTTAATTTAAGTGTTCGCATTTTTTTCGTTTTAGAGGCAAAATCTGCCTTTCTATTACATCCATTTTCCAGAAAAAATTATTTCAATATAAAAACATAGTGACAAAAATATCACAAAACTAGCGCCAGACTACGTACAATTCGTAGTAGAATTGCAGAAATTGATCATTTGCTAGGCTAAACTGTTCATACTGTTTGTGATCTGCGGTTCGTTACGTATAGCTCTATACATGAATTGATTTGTGGCGATTCCCCTTGATTTTGTGGGAAAATCATTTCGTTGGCAAGTCAACATGAATGATAAACAATAACCGCATTTAGCGAATCCGCCCGTCCATATTAAGCTGCGTTCGGGAATACACGAGTGCCTCCAAATATCATGCTATCCTTGTTATTCATCGAATGTTAAACAAGGATAAATTGATACCTGAAGGCATTCAATGTGTATTCCCGAACGTAGCCTTACTCACCAATCTCATGCAAATGATCATAACAGCAAATTATAAATCACAAATCATGCATGATCTGGCGTTAACTTTAAGGATCTTTGTATTAAAAAACATACATACAATTAAGATCATCGATAATAACATAATACTCATCTGCAAAAAAATAAGCTACTAAATTTTAGCATAATTTTTTAACATCTTTCAATGGCGATAATTCAGCGAAATATTATTGGATTGATAGATAAATCAAAGCTCAAATTAAAGCTTGAATGTTCCTTTTAAACATAAAAAAAATCAAAATTAAAAACTAAGAAAAAAGTTGTCCGTAATATTTTTTTTAAATTATATTTGATTTTTAAAAAATGTCACTCGAACAAAAATGTCCAAAAATTGAGAAATAAACGAATAAAAATTCATACATTTTTATACCTGATAACAGACTCCGTTGAAAGGCAAATTTTTAAAAAATTACCAAAAATTTGTCAAAGTATCTTCAACGTCCATTTGTTTAATATTTTTTATAACTCAATGAGTTAAACATTTTTGTAACTCAATTTTTGTTTTTTTTTTGTGTTTAAGAGAAAATATTTAAGCTTTAATTTGACTGATTACAATTTTTTGCTTAGTGCTATTGAAAATGTTAAAAAATTGTATTTAAATTTGATGGTCCATTTTTTTGAAGGTGAATGTAGAAAAAAGCAACTTCAATACTTGAAATATATATTGAAAACAACTATATCATTATCTATGTGGTATATGTATTAGTTGAAATGTCACGTAATAAAATTGAATTTTTTTTTAATCTCAAAAGATTTCCAAGTTAAACTTCTTTTACAATTTATCATGCAATAATGCCATTGCTATAATGATGCGTCATGTTATGTTGTATTAGGAGTAAGATATTGTTATTAATGACGACCATACAAATGATATAACATTTATTTTGAATTAGATGACTTAAAACCAGCTTATTGACTATTGGCCACTGTAATGTCATTCACATTTCGAATCATCTGAACGTCCATGGTAACAATTGTCCCAGTATCAAGAAGAAACATTAAGAACATTTGTAATTATTAGGTGTACAAAAAAGTTCTGAGCTTTTTTTTGTAAAATTCAATCTTTATTCAAAAACAAACGAAAAAATATTAATCAGCGAAATATTCTCCGTTTGCATCAACCACCTTTTGCCATATTTGCCCGGTTGTAACAACTCGTAGTACAACACAGATATTGGGCTTTGGCGTTGATGTCAAAGATAATGATTTTGTGCAGAAAATCTTTTTTCCGGAACTTTGAAACCAAAGTGAGTGCAGTGTCACGCCGTAATCGTACGGAAATGGCTTGCTGCGTAACGCTAAGCTGTTCTGCAAGCTCCTTTTCAGTTTGCGCAGAGTTTATTTCCTGTAGTGCTTGCAATTCGTCCGTTTCAATCTTTTCAGGGCGTCCAGCACGCGATTCATCTTTAAGACTGAAATCTCCTTGGCGAAACTTTTGATACCATCTTTTACATATAGCATGACTAACAGTGTTTTCTCCATATGCAGCACAAATCATTGTAGTGGCTTCAGCAGCATTTTTCTTCAGATGAAACGCGAAGTGGACGGAAAATCGAATATGCTTTGTTATTGCCATCGTGAACACTACTGATTTTTGAGGTTATGTGCATCAAACGCCAAACCGTATGGCATCTTAGAAGGCCAAATGTTAACGCTTTAAAACCGCAAAAGGGCGGGAAGATATATAAAATTTAAATTGTTATTTCGGTTATATCAAATCTAAAGCTCAGAACTTTTTTGTACACCAAATACTTGTTGAAGATTATCTGAATGCATCATCAAACGTCTTATTCCCAACGCATTTGTTGAGAGTCATACTTGTAATAAAGCTTATTGGATCAATATGATATTGCAGTCATCAATGGGACAAAATGGTTACAATGGGCGGCAGAATACATCGGAATGGTGTAAACATGGTCTAAAGTCTTAAGTCGCAAGAAATACCTTTGTGTCTCATGTATAGTATGCATGTATCGTGTGAGAAAGATGAAGAGGTGCACGAGACGCACCTTGGAATATGTTATATATATATATATATATGTATATAACTTGTCGGAGATCGGGACTGAAGAATGATTTAATCTACAAAGTGATTTTTGAGGTATTTCATCATACCGAAAGTTCTGAAACGCTTTACGCCGATTACCTTCATTAATTCCTCATCACAAATCGCAAATTGTTTATTCTTAGGATCCTGTAAAAAGTCATTTTTTTGGCAACATGGTCTTTGTCAAGTAAATACATACATTTAATATAATACATAATTTCTAAGATATAACAAATGTAGTAAAGTAGAAAATGAAGTACGAATAATGCACACAAAAAATTAGATAAATTATTACAAATAATACTTACATAAAGATTCCTTTCTTTGATGATACTCCATACTTTCTTCACGACTTCATGTCGAGCCATTTGTTCTGCGCCAACAACCGCGGCGAGTTCTGGGGACAGTGTGATAGCGCGTGTATAACCACCACCTTTGCCCTTACCACCACCAGCTCCCTTCTTTGCTGTGCTTCCTGGAGCTTTTTTGTTTTTACCCCAGTCCTCGTCACTGTCACTGTCACTTCCCTTCTTTTTTCCTTTCTTTCCAGGCTTACCTATAAAAAAATGTAACACATTCCATGTGAGATTTTTAATAAAATCTTGACGAAAAATAAAACTCTATTATAATAAAAAAAATATCCTACTTTTTTTAGGTGTAACTTTAGGTTTCTTTGGACTATATTCTTCATCGCTAGCATCATCGTCACTAGCGCTTTCTTCATCTTCGGAAGATCCCTTCTTACGTTTATTAGGAGTCTTCTTAGCAGGATTTCGCTTGGCTGGTTTTTTTTCTTCCTCCTCCTCCTCCTCTTCAGATCCTTCTTCTTCTTCCTCTTCACCATCTTCAGACTCTTCACTAGCAGCCTTCTTCTTTTTTTTTCCTCCATCCTGCTTTTCTTGAAGACATTCCATGACTAAATCATCGACTTCCTTTTTCCTATAAAGGATGAATGTAATTTGTTATTTTGTAAGTAATTATTATCAATGTACCTGTAAGAGGTAAAATATAAAAACATGTTAGAGGAGGAACGAGGTGGTAACTTATATCTATTATATTACAGTTCCACTCAGAGATCCTCTGTTTTTTTTCTAGGACATCACGAGACTCTCTTCCGCACTATTTTACAGTGCACAAGTGCCTTATTATATGTCCATTTTAAAGCCTTTGATTCAGCTTTAAACATAATATAATTAGTAAAATAAATTTATTTTGTGTATTGAAAAATAAAATAAATTGTGATATGGTAATATGATCAGCATATATATTATGAGCACACATGTTAAATCATCAGATTGATAAAGGAAAGAATTGCTTCTCTATTTAGCAACATATCAACTTGTTTAAAAAGATGCAAAAAAAGATTTTTTTTTACACTAAATGCTTGCGTACATACAAATATTTATGTTCGGAATTCGTATCTTTAATATCTTATTAATATGATTCATGCTTAAAGTTAACTTACATTATCAATACGATGAAATATTCTTTTATAACATATAAACGTATTCTCAATTCAACCTGCAATAATATAAAGGAAAAAAGACAACAAAGAAACAAAATAATCGAATTATAATTGCAAAGAACAGTTTTTAGATGTTGCAACATTAACGGGAGTAAATGCGCATGTACATCGAAGAAA